CTATTACGTCATTACTATTAATTACTAGACTCGTCTCTCTCTCTCTCTCTCTCTCTCTCTCTCTCTCTCTCTCTCTCTGTTATGCAGGTGTGGAACTTTCAACTACGACCCCAAGTTTCATGGAGCCACAGGGGACGCATCCTCTGATATCCATGAATTCTCACAACGCCTCGCTTCTGATGGTTTTGCAGTGAACCATGCTCGTATCCTCCTTGGCTATGGTCTCCAAACCTACGACAAGGCAGTGCAGGCCCTCCAAAACTGGAGGTATTTTTCTCTCTCTCTCTCTCATCTACGGATTGAAATGCCCATATTCCCAACCCCAATTCGTCTCTCTCAATCACTAACTCAATTCGCCTCTCTCTCTCTCTCACTCTCACCCTCACTCACCTCTCTCTTTCTTTCTCTTTCTAATCCTCTCTCCATCTCCGTCTCCCTCTCCCTCTCACGCACACACATAAACTTTGTCTCTGATATGCTCTCATTGGTCATTATTTTTGTTCGTCTTGTTTTCAATGCTCGCATCACGTTCTGCATTTCTGGGCTTGCATGTCCATTTCATTCTTTCTCCTGATACCATCTTACCAATTGTCTCTCATTTCTGTTGCCGGTTATTGGGTATGAATTCTGAATTGGGATGATGCAGACATTTCCAGTTGAATTGGGCGCTTGTCGATCCTAAAACTCGAATAAAAACAGGGGAAAGATTCTGTGTTTGTACAAAAGAGTTTCTTCCTTGGGTCCTCTTACCCCTTGAGATTATTTATGTGAGGGACCCTAAGGGTGTGGACTTGGGTCCAAAGCTTAAGCATTCATTTAGGTTCGGTAGCGGGACCCTTCATGGCCATCTACTGGTAATTCTTCCCTCTCGAATTTTCCTCACTTGCAATTTATATTTCCTCTCAGATCGTACTTGAACACAACTTAGCCACTCATCTTGAAATATCTATTATATTATTGTGGTTATCTCCATTTCCATCGGCTATTTGATTGATATTCATAAATCTTTTCGCATCTCTTACTCTTTTGTTATCTACTGTTGTCTTCTTCTCATATTTTAAAGGGAAAAGTTTATATAAGGTTACAACCTTAAAATGTAGAATTATAGATGCTCCTCAAAATTCCATCGAAGAATGTTGTTTCAATGTTGAAAAACCCTCTAATTGATCATCTCAACATCATGGTGTATGAATATGAATAAAAAAAAATATTATGAGTCCCAGACATAGTGCATCTTGCAACACATTATCTAGACCGTCCATTTTCAAGATTTTCATATGTTTATAGATTTTTTTGATTTTAACCATTTTTAGATTTTAAAATTTTATAATTAGATATAAAAATAGATTTTCAAATAATCCTAAGAATATTTTACACTAAAATTACATGTTATAATAAAATTTGGAGGTGCGCCTTAATTGGATTGTTTAAGGTTGCAACCTTATAGAAACCACACCCTATTTTAAATGTCCCATTCTTTGGTTTTGCATCACTGGATCAAAGGCAAATGCATAGTGCATCAGAGTTCTGTGCTCAACAGAGGTATCTGTTCAGGAGATAATCTCAAATTATCTAAATTTGTTGTTGTTGTCATCTCTGTTGTCATCGCTTAATTGATTGATGTGCGTTATTTTTTATACCATTCTCATTAGCTTACACCATCCTACCCTATCAAAGATAAATGCAGAATGTGTTGAGAGCTCTTTGCTTAATGGGGTTACATACTTGAGTTCTAGTGCTTACAAGATTTCCCTAACTGCACATTGTCGAAGAGATGTGGAATTAACTGTTGAAAGCCTTTTGGTCCTATCTTGAGTTACACATAATTATTCCCCTTAAGCTTGTTGCTTTTAATGCATGCATATAATAGACGTTGGAGGCAATGGGCAAGAGAGAACCACTTCACTTTTACATTTAAGGACCCCTTTACCTTAGTCTATCATAAAATATGTGTTCCCTCTCCATGGAATATATATATATATATAGACACACACACGCACACACACTCATAACAATAGGGAGATGAGAGTGATCATTGCTCGGCATGTGGGAACACCAAGCAAGGAATTTTTAATACGTAGCTGCTCTATAAACTTGTGGGAACTGTCTCCATAGAACCATGAACATGTTATTCGAAAGCACAATGCGTCTTTGTACTTTTAAACTAGGACCTTCCATTTCTAGGATTTGGAGGATTACTTTGCAGGTGATGTTGAACCATTTAGAATACAAACACTAGTATTGAAGAACTTCATTTACCTGGCTTACTTTCATTTTCCACCAGACTTATGCATTAGAACGCTACGTTTGAACCCAAACTATGTCATATATGCAAGTCTTCTTGTCCTTATCTTGGGTGTAAATGTTAGTCATTCATCTGACCCCTATGGTTGTAAGCAGTGTATTGAAACTCGACCACTCAGGCTCGTACTCACTTGGGTCGCTTGGACTCGGCTCACTGCCGGCTCTCAAAATGGGGGACCCAGGCCCCGCAAGGCCAGGCCTGGTCCCTTTAGGCACCTACCAGGTTTGGTTAGACTTGGGCGAGCCTCCCTGTCCTGGCCCAATAGCTAAGGCTTGCCATGTCTGAAATATTGTGTTAAGAGGTGCTTTTAGGCCAAAAAAAATGCAAAGGTTGGTTTTTCTTTTTTTTAATATTTGAGTTTTATGTGTGAGTTCATTTACATGGATGGAAAATGGCAACTCATAAGTCGGGTCCTGTGGTCTTAGCCCTATGTAGCTCCAAAAAGTGCAGCTCACAAGATCGGATGTGTGGTGACAACATGTAAGAGAAATAATGTGGGAATAACCGACTAACTGCTATAAAAAAGGTGAGGGTGGTATCCCCTCCGATGCAACTCTAGAAAGAGGTGAAAGCTGCAACCCCCTAGAACCACCCGCAGAGCCCTAACTTAGCTAGAGAGTCAGCAGGTATATTGGCCTCTCGTGTGGCTGGCATTTTTCAGCCCATAGGCTTTATTAAGCTCCCAAAATGTATTTAATTTCTTTATCATTTGTTTAAACAAGATGTGTGAAATCTCACCAATTTCACCCATCTGAGAGTATCGAAATCCACATTTCAAAGGAAGTTTTAGTGAACTTTGAATCAAGTTGATCTGAAGCCTGGCCCCAAAAACAAATTGGAGGTTCAACTTTTCAACCTTTGATGATCGCATGACTGTTAATTCTTTTGCATTGTTATATTTATAAATATTCTACTGTAAAACTCTAGATCCGGTTCGATTTCTTCATAATACTCTAGATCAACATGGATCTACGCTTATCATTGAACTAAAAATGGGCCTAGGTTGCATTTCATGTAGTTTTAATTTTTATTTGTCCATCGATAAGATCATCTATACTTTCTTCATTTATGTTCTCTCTTTTATACTATGTAGAAATTATCTATAGAAATGATTTTCAAGTAGTATGCAGAAATTTTGTTTGTCAAACCAGCTGTGCTTTATGGGACAGAATGTTGGGCAGTCAAGAAACAACATATCCACAAGATGAGTGTAGCTGAGATGAGGGTGTTGAGATTGATGAGCAGCAAGACAACAAAGGATAGAATTCAGAATGTATACATTCGAGGGAACTTAGGGGTGGCTCCAATAGACGATAAGATAAGAAAAAGCAGATTCAGGTGGGCTGGCCATATGCAACATAAACCTAATACAATATTGGTTAGGAGGGACGATTTGGTTCAATTGAAAGGTTCTAAAAGGGCAAAGGGAAGGCTCAAAAGGACATGTATGGAAGTAGTGAGAAGGGATACGGTGAGGGTATGGCCCTTGATAGAGTAGAATGACAGAACATGATTCATGTAGCTACCCCAAAATAGTTGGGATAAGTCTCGGATGATAATGATGATGATGATGATGATGTAGAAATTATCTATAGACTTGAGAAAAACGCCATAGTTTTTTATTTTAGCATAGGATATGTTTTTAGATGTATCTTTTTGTGCATTAATTTTTTTTTCCCAATGTATTAATGATTTTTCATGAATTCTTCATATTTCTTAGGATTTTTTCCCTTATTTTTCAGTGTTTCTCTACTTTATTCCATGTTATTCAATTTTCTTGCACATTCTTTTATAATCTGTATTTGCCTGTCTAATGCATTTAGGTATGCCAACTAAAATTGTTAAATGTAAGCACAGACCAATTTCTCTACGAAAAAAAGTAGGAATGAAAATTTTTTTGGCCATGGATAATGCTCTGTGTTCTTTTTCATGTGTTTAGACAGAGCACATCCAGGGAGTCAAACCTTGAACCTCATGTAAAGGCCCGGGAGTAGCTAGCCAGAGTGCTCTTTAAGCTTTTTACTTAATGTTGTGGATATTATATAATTTATAATGGATAAACCACCAATTCGGCTGGAGAACTTCATTGTTCTTGGGTGATTTCTGATTCAGATTGCAATTTTTGAAACATTGTGTACTACAATTACTAATATATAAATCCAGTAGTCAAATCATGAACACAATTAGATTCCTAGATAGGTTCTAGTCGTTTGCCTAATTGCTATATATGTCCAGTTGACTCTAGTTACAACTTATATGTACTAAACTTCCTTGTAATGAGATTGCTGACTTCCATATCGAGGTATACATGTTGCACATATTGAATCCATCGATGGTCCAACCGTTAGGATAATATCATAATCAGTACAAAAATAAGTAAGGTGTAGAAAAATAGCCTAATGCATGCAAGGATCTATGCAAGTTCTACTATTCTCTATAATTTTCAGTACAGGTGAATATTTTCTCTTCTAATAGCCAAAGTTCTCTGATAACTCCACCATGGCAGCGTCCATTCCCTTGTAAATATGACACATGGGTTGAAATCCAATAAAGAAATGAGTTTGAAGGCAAGGAATCCCTCACCAATGCCATCACCACTGACTAAAAACCAAACCACCATTATCTTTTGGGTTCAATATTGCCAAGAATTTGGACACTCATCAGTTAGCAGTGGCTGATTTTGAACAGCACTGGAAGCACTTTCTTTATTCCAAATCAATGTCTGCTTCCAAATCAACTCTTTGGATTCCACTTTCTGCTCATGCAGTTAAACTACATTTTGACACTTCCTCTCTTGGAAACCATGGTGAGGCTGATATTGACAGCATTTTCCATGATTGCTCAGCTGAAACATCCTTGCATGCTCAGGCCTGATAAGATGTCACTACTCTATTCTGGCCGAGGCCCTTGCTCTTCTAAATGCGCTGAAGCTATTCAAAACCAGCTGGGGATCCACTTTGTTGGTTTATTAAAAGGCCTTGGAGGTTGCATCCCATCTTTGATCAATTTTTTTGACATTCTATTCTTTTGGACATATTTTCATGGATCAAACTTGGTAGCTGACGCCCTTTCAAAAGATGGTGTCTCCTGAACCAACGTCATAATTACAAGGCCCCAATCTTGAGATAGGAAATGTGTTCCCCTCTGGGAATTTTGTACAAAATACCCAAACAGCACAGTTTTGTAAATTGACAATCGCTAGTAAATTATACATTTATCTACACTTAATTTATTACAAACTAAGAGCGGAATTTTGTTTCTCTGTGGGACCAGTGGGCTGAGGAGATCAATGATTCGCAATTGGTGCGTTCAGAGACCAATAGGCTAAGGGGAAAAAGGTCAATATCTGTGTTAATTAGGAGTTAATGGTTATTATTCATTAATTCGTGGTTTTTTAGTGCATGTAGGAGTTGAGTTGCAACGGAAAATTGCCTTGACCAATTGGTGGTGGGAGTTTGTTAGCATTCATCAAGCGGGCGATGGGCAATAGGCAATAGGCAATGGGCAATAGATGGCCTGTGATAAATGGTATACCTCCAGTGGGGCCATGGGAAATGGATTATGTGGAAAAGCCAAGGGGGATGGGGCAGTGGGCAATCAATGCCTTGAAGGTCCATTTGGTTAGAGTGAGGCATAAGTAAGCATTTGTTTTGGTCCTTGTCACAGGCCCTTTATTGGTTCACCGCTAACATGCTTGATTTTGCACCTACCTGTCAACAGAACCTTTCAATTTAAGTAGAGCTGGACATTTTTCAACTTTACACTAAGAATTGAAGGAAAATGTTTATCTCAAGTAGGTTAGGCTTAATCTTAAAACCCTTCATGGAGGTAGGTGTTAAATGCTCATATCTATGGATGAATAATTTAAAAAGTCACAGTGGGGTTCTGTTGGGGCAAGAATGAATGTAGAAATAACTCGTATCTGGTTGCTTCACATATGATTTGAATTTGTAGGTAGTATAAGATCATGGGCCTACTATACTGCACTGTGTCAGGTTTTGTTTCCCAGCCTAAAATTTGTGTCATTTGTTATGCTCCATGTTTTGTTTTGAGAATGTTAACTGATGTATTGAGTCAAAGTGAGGTACAAATTGATCAGCAACCCACAAGTCGGGTGTCCGAGAAGAACCCTTTACAGGGCTAAAAAAATTATCGAAGCTTTACATAAAGATCAAAAAGAGCACTGGAAAGGGTCTACAAGGACTCCCCTTCTTTAGCGAGGGAATCTGCAATGGAGTTTCCCTCTCTCCATTTATTCCTCCAGACAGTTTGCAGGTCCGAGCTTCTGTGGAAAATCTCGTCAAAAAGGGGATTGAGCCTCCAGGGACACTGGGCTGCTTTGGAGGCCCATGAGATGGATGTTGGCGGAGTCTCCTTTGATGTTCAAAGGGTTTCCCCACTCCCTGTTGTAACATCTGAGACCAACTAGAAGAGCCATCGTCTCGGCTTGGTTGGAGTCAGTGCAGCCAATGAAGTGCGGGAAGGAGACGAGGGTGTAGCCTTCACAGTCACAGAAAATCCCTCCTACTCCCGAAGGATCAGGGTTGCCCAGAGAGCAGCTGTCGAAGTTAAGCTTAATAAATACGGGGGTGGGAGGGGACCATGAGGAGCCCTGAGGGATGTGAGAAGGCCTTGGGTGAAGTAAGGCCTTCCAGTTTTGGTGGAAATCCGCTAGAGAAATATGCTTGAAAGGTTTGGAGTTGGTTGCCCAAAAATTGACAAGTGATCGCACCCTTTCCAGAAGGATGTCGATGGTAGAGAACTCTCCCCTAAAAATTCTTTGGTTCCTTTCCAGTCACAGAGTCCAAAGGATGGTGGCAATCGTGGCTCTCCATAAAAGAATGCCTGATTTGGCTCAAGGGGGCGATAGGTTGGAAGAGAAAAGATGGGGTTTGGACTGGGGAGTGTCCCAGTACCATACCTGATTTGTTATGCTCTATGTTAACATTTAAAGCGTCTTATTTTCTTATAAATTCCTTTTGTTCTAGCGCCATGACACAAGGCTTTGCCATGTCTCACTATTGAGCTTCTAGGATGGCACTCCTGTTTCCTTATGCTCTCTACTATTGTTTCATTATACTATTGTTTCAATAGTTTCTAGCTACGGATCATGAGATTGCTGTTACAGATAAATTCTATCATATCGACTTGCTAGCTACAGATCATGAGATTGCTGTTACAGATAAATTCTATCATATCGACTTGATGGAATTAAATATGTTGTACTTTGAATTCTCTTTATGACAGTCTTTTTTTTTCCCTTCTTCTCTTCTTTGGGGACATGCCTAAAATTCCTTTTGTCTTCTCTTCTTTGGGGACATGCCTAAAATTCCTTTTGTTCTAGTGCCATGACACAAAGCTTTGCCATGTCCCACTATTGAGCTTCTAGGATGGCACTCCTGTTTGCTTATGCTCTATATTATTATTTTATTATTTCATTAGTTTCTAGCTACAGATCATGAGATTCCTGTTACAGATAAATTCTATCATATCGACTTGAAGGACGGATTTAAATATGTTGTAGTTTTGGATTCCCTTTATGGCACCATTTCTTCTTTTTTTTTCTTTCTTTTCTTCTTTGGGGACATGCCTATGGTTCTTTTCTGTTGACTAAGTTGGCAACCATTCATTTTATGTTGAGAACTTGCAGTAATTTGTAATTCTATCCATATATCTATGACTACTTGTAACAGGCTGGGGAAGAGCGATTTTCTATTGAATGGGATGAGGAGAACAAGGTATGGTATGAGATCCTCTCATTCTCGAAGCCTTCTCACATCCTCTCATTTATGAGCTACCCATATGTCAGCTTCAGGCAGAAACAGTTTGCCAAGCAATCTATGCAGGCAGTTTTAGAGCATCTCTCAGCTCAACACCCTAGGGAGATGTAATTGAATCATGAATGTGGGTTAGCTTTCTTGTTACCATTTCGTTCTGCATAATTAGCTTTTCTAGAGTATTGCATAATTGTGTTAAACAAATGCAAAAATTTACTTTCTTGTTACCATTTCGTTCTGCATAATTAGCTTTTCTAGACTATTACATAATTGTGTTAAACAAATGCAAAAATTTAACAATTAGCTTTTCTAGACTATTGCATAATTGTGTCAAACAAATGCAAAAATTTAACTTCAATTTTTAAACTTTATAGTTTAAGATCATCTTCAAAAGAAAAAATTGCAAAGTTCAAGATACATTTGAACTTGGATGACAGTTAATTCTAATATTTTCTTTTTCAAATTAGAAAATTGGAAGAGAGTTGAAAGGATTCAGATGGAACATTTGAGGAGACTAATGGTAAGTATAATTGAATTTAACTTTAAATACTTAACCAAAAAAAGTTCACCTGTTTAAAAAAACCAATATTCCTATATGGAAGAGAGTAAATATTCCCTATATAGAAGAGAGTTTAAGGATTTAGATGGAACATTGGAGGAGACTAATGGTAAGTATATTTCAATTGACTTTGTAATACTTAGTTTTAGTAAAAAACCAATATTCCCTGTAATATTGTTTCCCCTTGTTCCCCTTGTTAAATCATCTTTTTTCCAACGGTTAACCTTTTAACTTTCCTGTCCTTCAGCCTTCACAAATATCTTCACTTCACCACTTGAAAATTAGTTTTGATAATATGAAAATTCTT